TTCCATGCCAGGCACTGCACTGAGGCTGTGCTGCCTTCCCTTCCATCTCAGGCACTGAACTGAGGCTGTGCTGCCTTCCCTTCCATGCCAGGCACAGCACTGGGGCTGTGCTGCCTTCCCTTCCATGCCAGGCACTGAACTGTGCCACACAAGGCAGAGGGGGCTGCTCCCAAAGGCAGCTTCCCTCCTCCTCCCTTTGCAAGCAGCTGCTGCTACCAGATCCCAAGCACAGGCAAATCCCAATCCCTGCTGCAGTGCTCCCTGAGCTCCCAGCCATGGAGAATAGCACCAAATTCCCTGTCCCAGCCATGCTGCACAGAGACCCTCCCAGCTGCCCCTGGAACACTCCCACCAAGCTGATGAGCACCCTGCTCCTCCCCAAAGCTTCACCATGCGTGGCTGGTTTCACTTGCAATGAGATCAGTCCCACAGAAATGCAGCTATTTGCTGTGGTGAACAGGAGAGTGCCTATTTCTGATTCCATTTGAGAAGAGGCAGAATCATCCCTGGCCCTGGAAGGGGGATCCAAACCTCACAGCTCCCCTGCCTTCTGTCTGGGGCTCGAGCTGCAATGCTGTGAGACCCACAACCCCTGACTGTGATGTCCTCACCTGCAGAGAGAGCCCTTCGTTCTCCAAGGCATCCAAGATGTGTCCTAACAAAAGCTGAACACTGCAAACACTCAGGGGCTGCTGGTAAGAATGTGTTGCTCTTTATCACCAAGTGAGACAAACATTTGCTGAGACTTTTAGTCAATCTCATGCATAATAAATAATTTCACTTGGCAAGAGACGTGAAACAAACTGTGGCTGCTATTTGTTGCCATAGCAATTCCTGGTTGTTTTATTCTCCAAAACACTCTAAACTGCCTATGTAAATATTTTCATACTAATAAAATTAAGATCAGGAAGTGAAAATATCTAAATGATAAAAAAATATTTTAACAAAACTTAGCCATGTTTTTCTTCTTACTGGATCCTTACAACAGTTGATTTCTATGTCCCTATTTAGGCATCTAAGTTAGCTGTTTAATTTTCCAAAGCTGATAAGTACCAAGATATTTTCACTAAAATATAGACTGAGTTTAACTTTAGGCACTTGTTTCTTAAAAAAATCCTCAGGCAACTATTTTTCCTGCAAATTCTAAACCACAGAGTAATGTTAGCTCTACAATTTACAACCTATTTCCAGCCCTGTAAATTTCTATGTCCTTTATAATGAATTGGACTCCAATAATAAATGTCCTGTAAAACATGTAATATTGGTGTAAGTAATTAATCAGATGTGTGCCAAGATTCCATGGCTGCCGGGAACTTACTTTTGATGCCAAATGTATTTTTTTATTTCTCAAAAGCTGACAGCAAGCACAGCAGTAATTTGTAATGACAGCAGCAGTGCAGAGAAGATTGCATGAATCAGAAAAGATTGTAAAAATACAGCGTGACACACGTTCATTTTGCCAAGGCTATTGCAAATTAAACTGCTTTTCCTTCTATCAGAAGAGACTCCATCCCAGCAGATTTACATTCATCTGGACACCCAAAGGTGTTTACTCCTCATGTTCCACCTGCACTGCTTTGGGGCTCCTGCTAACATGCCAGTGCACTTCCTCATAAATACTGAAAACCCTTCCCACCTCTGGAACTGAGGGGTTTGACTCTGCTGTGCTTGCTGATGGATCAAATGACTTGTTACTTCTGACCTTCAGCACTTTCCAACCACCACCTCAAAAACCAGCCCAACCAGTGAAAATCAATCTTCTACCATGGCTGCCCTGAACTGATCAGCTGGGCCTGACCTGCCTGCACTGCACAGGAAATTATCTGACTCTGATTTCCAACCAACACTGAACCATTGCAACAGATTTCTTCCAGACACTCTGGAGTAATTGATATGAAACACACATAAAAATCCTCTACTTTCAAATTAACTCAGGCAAACTACTGAAAAACAGATTTAAGGTTCATTTGTCATAGTTTGGCCCTTTCTTTTATTACTATGTATTTTCATAGTTAGAACCCTTCTCAATGTAGTGATACAAAGGGATAAGCACAGTCTGAGCAAAGCTAATGTCTAACCAGGCTCTAGATGAGCAGGTGCAACTCACTCACACAGAAAATATTTTCTACCAGCAGAAAGTTGAAGAAACCAAGAAGATTTTTTTTCTTTACAAACGCTGACCTGTTTGCTCATCTGTTACAGCAGTGTTAAAATCTGAACCTACAAAACATCTTACAAATGCCCTGCCTTTGCAAGAGCTGTAAATGGAATTCTAGACTCAGACTGCTAAAATTTATCAAAGCCCAAAAGGCAAAGCTGCTGCTCTCCCAAGGTTTTCACACTGCTCACTGCCAGGGTTCCCTCTCTCCCAAACAAAGCACATCAATAGCAGCAGACCTACACCCAGAATACATTAAAACCCAAAAGTGCCTTGAGAAAATCTTTGTGCCTTTGCAACTCCCAGCTGCACAGCCAAGGAGTCAGGAATATTTATGGCATTACCACCAACAGCCTGAGGAGTGTCACCTCCTCAAGGCTCCTCACTCCCTGTGGGAAATGTGAGAGATGCAAAATTTGTTTCAGACTTGGGAGGAAATGTAAGGAGCTCTGATTCTGCAGGTGAGGGGTTTTTTTCTCTTTGTGTTTTAGTGCACCTCTGTGTAAAAATGAAATACAGGTGTAAGTCCCAAAAATGTGCCACATTTCACCCAGACCAAGATAGCCCATTCCTTGGAGCACCCAGATGCAAAGGAGATTCAGCTCCAAGGAACAGCAGATCCCTTACAAATTTATAAGCAACCTTCTTTACAATAAATTAACTGCTAGGGACTGATCTGTGTTAACCTGTAAGTAGTGCAAATTCAAATGCAAAGATTGAATACACTGGACCCAGTGAACTGGATTTTCAAGCAACCGACAGCCTGCATACACAAATCAGGATGCTGGAGCCCAACAGAGACAATTTATGCCTCACTAAATGTGATGTAAAATATTTAAAGGCAGGAACAGTTTCAGACAAGCTAGCACACTATAAATTGCTGCTGTGGAATAGGATCTGTGTTCAAGCACAGGGATAAAGCTGCAAAGCCCTGGAAATAGATTTGTCCCTGTGGAACTGCTCCCTCCTGGTTCCCCTCCAGCTGATGATATTCCCCACGGGACTCCTGCACAGGAGGTGCCTGGAGGCAGCTGAGGCTGAGGAGTAAGCAGGGAGCTGGCCCTGTGAGAGCTGGGAGCTGCACACACTGAGCAGCTGGGACACCGGCAAGGTGTCCCGGAGCCACGCAGCTAAGGAACCTGCAAAGCAGTATGGCAGGCCCTCTGCCTTCCTGCAGATGCAAAATCCTCTTTTCCTCCCTTGGGAAAAAAATGTGAGGGGCCTGTCTTACCAAGTCCTCCCTCTTGCTCGCTTTTCCTCTCTATGAAAACCCAGCGTGCCCCAAAACTCTGCCTGGCATGTCCTTTGTGAAGAGAAGAGCAGCTCAGTGCATGGGCAAGGATGAGTCCTAGAGCAGCAGGGAGGGCACTACTGCCCACCAGAGAGAACTGAAAACCTGTCACCTGTAACAGCCAACAGCTGAGCAGGAGCAAAGATGCTGTCCTGGCCTTGCTGTTCCCAACAACTATCACCCAACAGCTCATTTACCATGTGCACAAACCCAAACATTATCCTGGGGGGCCTTTAAAAGCAGGAGCATTTTTGGCAGATGCATCTATGTCTCTTTTACAAGGAACTGCAGTTTAAAAGTACCTTTTTGTCCTCCACTTAACTGGCCTGCAAGCTTTTATGGCTCTTTTTTAAAAGTACTTTATCAAGTTTTACAACTGAAAAACCCATCCCAGGGTTTGAGCAATGTCAGGAGAAATCTGATGCTCTTAGCTCTAAGTGACTTTGAAAACTATTAGAAGAACTCATATCTTCACTACAATGGACTGCAAAAAAATAGAAATTACTAGGCTGGTAAGAAGTCCTGCCTGGCTTACCAAGGAGGGCAGATAAGAATATCTAGTTCTGTACTTACTATTGCATATATATTAGTAATAACATTAATATTATGTTCCAGTATTAAGCCACAGAATTTTATTAAAATTATAGAACTCGGAAGTGAAAAACCCTAGAGCTCCCCAATGTGCTTACCTCCGAACTGGAATTTTCCCATTTGTGTTTGTTAGAAAGGCCAGCTTCATCCAGCTGAAATTAGGAATGAAATATTTTTAAAACACTGTTTATTAAAACTGGGGTCTAGATGTTATGTTTAATTTGTTGCCATGTCTGCTAAATAGTACAAACAAATAATTGTTCTGCAATAAAAACATTTTTCTGTAACCTTTTAATGCTTGAGGCAGGGCAGTTCTTTAACTGCAAAAGCAAAAAGCAGCCCAAAAAAATCACTACAGCAATTAACACCAGTGTGAAGGTGAGAAAGTCTCATGGGGCTTAGCTTGCATATGCATCAAAGAGAAAACAAGCCAGCCAATAATTAAAACATACACTACCATAAATCAAATGAACAGTTATAAATTCTCCTGTAATTTCTCCTGGGCAGGTGCCAGATATAGCCTTGAGACATCTTTAGTCTCAACAGACAAACTCCTAACTCATTTAATACCATTTTCTTTCTGACACTGTTTTGTAAATGTCAAACTACAAAAAGTAATTTTTTTTCCAATTCCAACAAGGAAAACACAAGGACAGAAAAATAAAGGAGAAGGGAGAGGAAAGAAAGCAACTTACTGTTTCTTGAGACACGTCATTGGACTGACATTGTTAGCTCTGAAGTTATGTATGATGGATCCAAGCCCTTCTACCCATTGCTGAAAAACACCAAAACACCAAATCAGCAACACTGAAGAGGGGAGAAGTAGGGAAGTTTGGCTTGGGGGAAGGCTCCTCCTTGAAGCCATGGGTAATGTAAATAACCTGTGCAGGTCACAGCCCATACCATGGAAAAGCCCGGCCTATTTTATCCATTTTACCCATCACTGCTCATCCCCCACTAGGCACAGGGACTGTGCTTCCCATTCCTCCAAATGCTACATGTGGGACCAGCAGTGCCAATAAATCAGTGTACTGCCAGCCAAGGCAAGTGATCCCTCACTGATTTATTGGGGCCTCCATTTATGCCCTGTATGAACCTGTATTGGCCTCCCTGTGGTGCCAGGGGCGGCACCAGCCCTTGCTGAGCTGATATTTATTTGTGCCCTGTATGAACCTGTATTGGCCTCCCTGTGGTGCCAGGGGCAGCACCAGCTCCTGCTGAGCTGATATTTATTTGTGCCCTGTATGAACCTGTATTGGCCTCCCTGTGGTGCCAGGGGCAGCACCAGCCCCTGCTGAGCTGATATTTATTTGTGCCCTGTATGAACCTGTATTGGCCTCCCTGTGGTGCCAGGGGCAGCACCAGCCCTTGCTGAGCTGATATTTATTTGTGCTGAGGCCTCCATTTATGCCCTGTATGAACCTGTATTGGCCTCCCTTTTGGTGCCAGGGGCAGTACCAGCCCCTGCTGAGCACCATCACCCAGTGTGTGAGGACATATTTCACTGGTCCAGCTTAGGAAAGGAGTGAAATAGAATATCAAGAAGCAGGAGGAGGCATAACAACTGCTCTCACACCCTGTTACATATTCAAGCCCTGCTTGCTTTCATCCTTCAAATGCACAGCAATGCAAATAATCCCTGGGATGACTTGCAGCCAACAGCAGCATTACAGCACTCACTGCTGTAATTCCTCTTTCAGGGATCTACTTTCCTGCTGTAGCCTGCACCCCAAGCTTGCAGAGCTGCAGCTTAAGGCTTAGGCCCTGACATGAACCCCCACTGATTTCAGCAAGAATCCTGGCAGGAAAAAGCCATGGCAAGATTCAAAAATGGCAGTGCTACAAGCCAAGTTCCATCTCAATTATGCCATTGTAACACTAGGATTACTCAACTGATAATTTACACTGGTGGAATGGAGATGGGATTCAGTCCTCTGCTAAACATTAACCTTGGGAACAAAGGAGCTTTTTGCCTCTGGCCAAATGCTGTGCATGCAGCCTGAGCTGACTTGGGCCGCGTCCAGACACGACACTCATAGATGCAGATGAGTGGACTGTGCTTTTCATGAATGAGTGCTGTACATCTGCAAGACAGATGAAAAAAATCCTGATTTATACTGGAGGAGCACTAGCCTCTTTGGGAAAGGGTATATTGTAAACTGCAGGCAGCAAATCCCTGGGTTGAAACAAGGTCTGAGGTGTCAATTCAACACACTTCAGGAGACCTCTGCACTCATGAAATATTAAATCTGTTTTCCTTTAGGAAAAGTAGTCACTTATTAAGATGCATGTCAATACTTAAGTGTTCTTTTTTAAGTTACCTTTTAAATAAGTACTGCATTAAATATTAATTTAAAGAGATCAAGTGTGTGTCTGAGAATCATTTGAAAAACAGAACCATCACTTGTGGGAAAAGGCAGTGTTTGGGGTTTTCTTAGGTGTGTTTTTGGGCTTGGAAACAACCCCCCAGTCAGAGTCTGCCCTCCCATCTCCCTTTTCCCAGCTGCATGAGTCCATGATTGCAGTCATAGGCTGCAGGGACTGCCTAGGAAGATAAAGACAGCAAGGTTCATGGGGCAAGATAATATCATTTTATCTTTATATTAGAACTGACATAACTAGAAACCACTGACAGATTCAGGAAACACTGATGTTTTCCTACAAATGTTCCCTCACCTCAGATGATAAAGGAATGGGGCTTGTGATAATTTCAGGGTAATTGCCTGAACAAATCTTACACAGAATTCAATTTCCTAGAACTGCTGAAATTCAACTGTTGCAGCTGCCTGTGTTTGGGGTTTGTGGTTTGTTTGGGTTCAGGTTTTCCTGGTTTGTTTTGGGTTTGGGGGATTTTTTGTTTGGTTGGGTGTTTGCTTTTGTTGTTGTTTAAACCAATTAAATGTAACATTGCTGCTGCATTAACACTGTTACAGCTACACAACCATTGGTCCTTGTGTGATCTGCATTGGTCTGCAGCCCTACAGAACTCCTCAGCCCTCCAACACTGACCCAACCACTCAGTGGCATACTCACTGCAAACAGAAAACCCCTGCAAAAATTCAATTACACCAAATGCACGTTGGGAATAAGCTGCAGGCTTTCTGCCATTTGTTTCTGCCAGAAAACCACCCCTGGTGCAGTGCTGCCCTTATCAGCAATTCATTTGGAGCTAACACCACAGACCCGTTCTGATTTGAAGGCAATGGATTGAGACTACACCAGATACAACAAAAACTAACATTTAAAAGCAAGGCTGGCCAGCACTCAGCTCTGCAGTTACCTCTGCTCATCTAGAAGAGCTGCCAAGAAGGAACACTGCTAGAGAAAAACACGAGTGAAGAGAGAAATCAATACACTAAGCACTTCCCAAGTGATTTTTCGTAGGAGTTGTCGTGATGGCTCCCACTTTAGAGGTCTCCCTAACCTTCTCTCAGTGTTAATGTCCTTCCCTGACAGAGATGCCAAGGCAGGAACTGCACTCCCTTGGAGCAGAACAGCACAAAGCTCCAGCCCAGCCCTGCTGAGGTGCAAAAGCACCACACTGCGGGGGCAGCAGGCGAGGGAGGGAGCCCCGAGCATCTCCACGGTGTGTGAGGTGCCCTGGGCAGCGGCAGCAGCTCCAGAGCCCCTCCTGCCCATCTGCTCCAGCTGACAGCACCTCTGGCTGCCTGCCCTGCCTCTGGGCACGGCAGCTCCTGCAGTGGCACAGCACGCCCTGCCCACGGCCACCAGCTGCCCCTCAGCAACAGGAACACAAAGGAAAACCAAACTCAACAACACAGCCAGCACCGGCAGAGTTTTTGTCCCTCTGAGGCAGAACGGTCTCAATTAATACTGCCTTCACACTTGCTCCTAGGGTACTGTGATCAGTGCACAGATACTCACAAAATTCAATATCCAGCTGGCACTATATTGCTTTCCTGACAACAAACCATTCCCAGGTTTAATGCACACTGTCTGATGACCTTGCAGGAGGCATGAAAGAGGGGCTCATGTTTATCCAGCTAAGACGCAGACAAATACAGCAGCAGCCTTGCTTGTATTCTGTGACAGCACCCTTTAATTTACAGATGAAGCTGAAAGACCTGTACATCTACATAAGGAACAGGGATACAGATCCTCAGTTCTCTTCTGTCATCCTCAGCATTTTCAAGTCACTGCCTGTGCAAAGGATGAAAATTCTGTAAAAAGTGGAATTCTGAAATGAGGTACCATTTAGGAATCAATTATTGGTACCGTTTAGGTACCAATAGGAAGCACCTTGTTCTTAGAAAAAAATATGTCTTTGATAGAAATCAGGGTACATTGGATTCTTACTGATGCTAGTGCTGAATATTTTCCAATTTTCAAAATATGGTTCAGTACCCTTAATCTGTTGAGATATACACAAATATTATTCCAGATTCATAGAGGGATCTGGACCCTGATATCTAATCCTAGAGAATGAAGAGCCATGAAAAGAAACAAAACCAAACAGCAGTACATCTTAAGCTCAGACCCCCTTAGGCTGAAACAAAAGGCCAAAATCTACACTGCAGGCTGGAACAAACACTGTGTTGTTTTTCTCTGACAAGATCAAACACTGTCAAACATCTCCAGAAGAAGAAGGGGCAAGAAAAATCAATCACAGAAGCACTCTCTTAGCTTTTGCTGTCAGCCTGAAATGCTTCTGAGGCTCTTAGTGACCCTGTGTTAGTGAGGTTCACCGATGGAACACAGGCACAACTGGCAGGGGGCACAAATAAGTTTGGCCTTTCAGCTCTATTTTAGCCATCAACCTTTCACTTGGGCAGGGTTAAAAAGGACAAGAATTATGAAAGGTTAAAAAGCACCATAGTCTGCAGCTCATGACATTGCAGACAAGGCCATGCATGGCTTATTGACCCATGGGGTCAGTACTGCCAGACCTCTCCAGATTTTGCCTTCCCCTTTCCAGGGTTGCACTCCACCTACTGCAGGCATCAGGAAAGGCAGGGAGGCACTGCCCTCTGAATTTGGGGTTCAGGTCTGGGACTGGCTGCCAAGGGCTCCACAGCCCGAGGGTGCAGGAAGCCACAGAGAATTGTTCCCACCTGTGCCCAGGACACAGTGGGCTGGCAGGAGTCCCTGGCACTGCCCTCAGCCAGCAGATGTCCCCATTCCCTCAGTGCAAACACCTCACAACTGCACTCTGCTCAAGGAAAATCCCCCAGCAGCCCCAGCAAGGAACCTGAGGGGTGCCAGTGCCAAACCTGCCCCTGCCCTGCCCCACCGCAGCACTGACTGTAGCAGGACATGGCTGTGGAAACACTGCACACAGATAAAAGGGAACCTTGTGACCTTCAGCTATTCCAGCAGCAAAGCTGGGGCTCACCTGAGGCTCACAGTCTGTACTGGAGCTGCCCAGTGTGCCCACACTGCTGCCACTCAGTGCATTGCCAGCGTGGGTGAGCAAAGACAACAACAAGTCCAGATTTTGGGTGGCTGAAGTACAAGAGCTTTACTGGACTAATGGCAGCCCATGTGCCAAGGGCTGAGGCCTCACCCCAGCACTGGATCACTTCTGCCCCAAGGAAATTCATCCCCAAATTCTCTCTGGCCTTTTCAACTGTCCTAGACTGAGGAAAACCAATTACTGGGGCAACTATCCAATTACTGGGCCACATAAAGTCCATCTGGGAAGTAAAAAAGAAAAATACACACATATGCTCTCATCTCTAATATATGTGTGTGCATGTGTGTGTGTTAATTTTAGCTCAGGATAATTTATACAACCTGATTAAATCAGGATTCCAAACATCAGGTTTTAAATTCCACCTTTTACAGTCACTCTCTACTACCACAGTGGAGCTGTTTCAGGAGTGGACCATGACAGCTGCTTGCAATCAGAGACACAGTACACCCAATTCTGTGGCTGTTTTAAGAGTGGAAATGAAAACCAATTTCTCAGCTGAAAACACCAATAAAATTTAAGTAGATAGAATGTAAACAGCAGAGCTGGAGCTTGGAGACAAGTGCAGAGATAATAAATACTCTCTTGTTGCTGGAGTAGCTGTACTTGGGGCACAGCAGTGCCCTGGGCAGCCCTGCTGAGCACCAGGGACACAGGTGAGGACAGGTGACAAGAGCCAGCCTGGGATGGGCCTGGAGGGAGGGTCCAGCCCTGCCCACAGCAGGCACCAGCCCACTGCCACAGCTGGGGCACCCCAGGGACTGTCCCCCTGTGCCACCCTGTGCCAGGGACCTGCAGAACCTGCTTCCCAGTGTGCCACCCCTTGCACCAACAGGATCTTCCACCAACTCCCTTTGTCGCAGCTAGCCAGCCCCATTCCAATCCAGCCTTCAGTGGGTAACAATGCTTCTTTTCCCATTGCAAATTATCACCTGCAGAGGCCGTTCTGGGCAGAGAGGGTCTGAGCTTTAGTGCTTGGATCTGCCACGCAGTTCCCTCATTTAAAGTATCCCAACCAGGTACAGACCAAGGCTCTGTTCCTCACAGCAATGGGGGACAGCAGAAAGCACAGGTTTCTTGCACACATTTACAACCCTCACACATATCTGGGCAGCTCAAGCTTCAGTCATTGCCCCTTCCCCTCCAAACTCTTGCCTCTGTCATTTCACAGGAGGGGCTCTGAGCTGGATTAATTTGAGCTCTATTTTAAGCTGCAGTTAGCAGCTGCACAGATACCCAAAGCCATGCAAAGGCTGGCTCTTCTGCAGGGGATTTACTGTGTCCCACAAGGAAGATGTTCTCTCCTGAACACCACAGGAAGAATGAAGCAGGAGCACTTCTATGTGCAGAAAACTCCAGAAAATTCCATTTCAGCACAGAAGTGCAGTAGAAAGCTGTGGTATTTACCATATACCAAAGGTCAACACAGCACAGGCCAGATTCCCCAGTGAAGGCAACTTAGAGAGCTCTGCATTGATTTTCTGGCTTGATCTGCCTTCTGCTGTCCCTCATGCCTCACACATCTCCTATCAGATGAGGTGGATCATCACTGCTGACAGCCCTGGGCGTGTATTTTGGCGGGAAGGCTCCCAGATGCAGGGCTCTGGGTTCCATGGGTCTCAGAGCCTGCCCACTGCAGCATGACACACCAATTCTGCAAGGCTGGGCTGCTAATGAGCACCAGAGCTTCTCCACAGCATAATTAGCTCATCTCTTGTGACAGCCTCTGTAATGGGCCAGCATTCTCACAAACCAATTAGTCTAATACAGGTTATTGAGATCTAAGGTGGCTGAGAAACTTAACTGCAGCTGCCCTCAGAATGAATCAGAGATGCTGCTGGGTGGAGTGTGAAAGTGAATGCTGCCAACATCTCCTATGCTTTGCTTCTTTTTTCAAATGCTTTCAAAACATAACTCTGACACGTTATTTCCCTTGAAGTCTGCTGAAAATACACACAGTAAAATCAATTTAGTGCACCCATGTAAGTTATACAAGTGTTTCTCCTATAAAGGAGTTTGCTCAGCATTACCAGTGCTTCCAAAGGTATGAATCCAAAGCAATGAACAATAAACCAGGTTGGCAAGGGATTTAGTGAAGCTGCATTCAGCAAACAGTTTTAAAGGAGGGGATTTACCAGGTGTGTGATACTGATCACTATTTAATATTTATCTTACAGGCAGAACAGATTATAATCCTAAATACCCTAAATGCACGCAGACAGAGAAGAAAAGCAAAGAGTGTGTATTTTAAATGCCCATGGATGCCTGGATCTCAGCTAGCAGTGTTCTGTCAGCACTCTGAGCAGGTTTCTCAGAGCAGCTCTCAGCTGAGGGCCAGGGCAGGTGGAGGCCAGGACTCTCAGCAGAGCTGCAGGCTGCAGCCCTCAGGAAGGATGAGGTGTCAAACTGCACCACTGCTTCCTGAGAGCTGCTCCGTGTCAATGGGAAGCAGCAAAGAGCCTGGCCACACTGGGATGCCCTTAACTGCACGGTTTCCTTTCCTGCTTTTGTTTTTTCAAACAATACAAACCACACAACACAATTGGGTTATCAGAACTTTGAAGGGCTGAGCTCCACCCACCAGGAAAATGGCAGCAATTACATTCCCTTCAGCATCCCTGTCACAGAGCCAGCAGCACCAGCTTGTCTGCTGGGGCAGCACCACACAGAGGCACTGACCAGCCCAGGGAATGCCCAGTGCTGTACACAGTGCTCTCAGTGTCTCTGATAATCCTCTGTGCATGCTCAGGCTGACAGAGTCACTGCTTCCCTCACCACATGCTCCACAGGGATGTTTGGTGCCCTCTGGAAGGGCAGGGCAGCAGACTCTAACCCAGGTATTTCAGTCAGCCACGCAGGCAGGCTTAGGAAAAACAACTGAGCACTGCTGATGAGCTCCTCTTTCACCTCCCACACACAGTTTAATTGTGAAATACCTTGGCTATTTCTGTGGTTTCTGCTACCATGAAAGTGAAGCTGATGTTCACCAGGTCTGTGCCACTGCAAACACACACTATCCGTCCTTCCAGCTCGTTTTCTGATTTTCCAACAGCCTCGAGTGCAGTCAGTATTTTGGGATCCTGTGAGACACAATAAAGAACTTGTTACATTTGCAACACTTCTGCTATGCAAGGCACGATGGTATAAATGCATTTTCACCTCCTTATACATTTACACCTTTAAACCTTTGCCAGTCATCTGAAATGAGTGCTTTCACTCAGAAACATTGTGTGCAAACCTGAGAAAACAACACATTCTGACAGTCAGGAACATGATTGCGAGAACTCATCTTTTCATCACGAAGAAGAACAATTAATCACTCCAAGGACTGAGACAAAGCATCAGCACTGATCTGGAAGTTAATTATTCCCATCTAGTTAAATCCTTATTTCCCGAAGTCACCATCTCTGTGACTTGGAGGTTCTTTAGTGACGTGTCACACGAGCTGCTGTCCCTGCTGCTGGGGGAGGTTCCATGGGCATGCTTTTGGAAAGGCAGAGCTGCAGGCTGCAGCTCACGGCTGGGGCAGTGAGCATGGGGAGCATGGGGCTGTCTGCATCACCACAGCTCCTGCTTTTGGAAAGGCAGAGCTGCAGGCTGCAGCTCACGGCTGGGGCTGTGAGCATGGGGCTCTCTGCATCACCACAGCTCTTGCCCCTTCTGTGGGGCAGAGATCTGGGCCTGCAGACTACCAGGAGGAATTATAAGAGTTACCTACATGAACACACTTTACATGTGAAAGTGGAAATGCAGGGCTCACAGCGGATCTCCTAAACTGAAGGGCTGCTGGAAGGAGAGGCACAGCCCCGTGCACAAAACCCTGTGTATTCCTTCTGAATACTCCTGAGTCTATTTCCAAAGGCTTGGGGCTCCAGGACTCCTAGCTAGTACTTCTGCACTTTAAAAAGGCAGGCTGTGAGCAGCTGCCCTCTCTGACCACCTAAATGCAGAAAGAGGGATGCAAACAAATCTTTCTACACTTTATCTTAACAGAGAGAGAAGATAAAATAAATTGAAACAGATTGGAACAAAATGAACATTTTTTCTCAGATCCCTAAACAAGTGTCACAATAAACTGTTACAAGATAATTAAAATCTCCTGCTATGTGCTCTTAATGTCTGTTCAGCTCTCAGTGCATCCTGAACCCTGCAGTACCTCAGAAAAACCAGATGACTGATGCTGCCCACTGCAATCACAACAAATCACTGTAAAACTTCAAACGTGAGGCTATGACTGCAAAGTAAAAGCTGTGTTACTGGTATTACTTAAAGAAATGAAGGCAATCCTGCATTTCACCTTCAGCTGAAATACTGCTCATTTAAATGAAGCATGAAGTAAGGACAGAGTACCTTTGGTACAGCTCCAAAGCGAACACTGTTGATCAGGGAGCACTCCAACACCTGGCCCTCCTGAAAGGACAAAAAGGGTACAAGTTCAAAGGCTGCTGAGACACAATTCCACTGGGAGTTTCACCAAAAATAAACTGAGAATTTCATTGGCAAACTCTGTTAATAAAAACTAAGCAGTATATTTCCCTTCAGTATTGGTTGATTCCCTCTTAAATTCTTCACTTCTGTCAATTCTAAAAACAATAAGATGAGGACTAGTTTTGTAAATAAACTAACGCAGTATTTTAAATTTTTTAAAAACAGAATACACATAAAATGCAATAACATATAATATACATTCCTGACATAATTGCAATATACCTTTCCTTCACTTTTCCAGCTCAGAAAAAATCCAAATTCATCCACTTGGAAGAGACAGTTGCTTTCAAAGACAAAAGATTCCTACAGAAAAGAAAATACAGACCACTATTTCAGTCAGTTTGCCAAATATAAATTATTTATCATTCAAAAATAAAGGATTGTTCTGTTTCTTCCCAAAGACCCTCCTGCAGAATTTGCTGTTCCCAAAAAAAAAACAGAAACAAGGGAGGCAGGCCTTTAAAAAAGAGATCACTTTTAACAATTTGTCTTATTGTTTACACTTGAGACACTGAGACACACTTAATTAATATTTTCCTACCTTATTGCAACTAAATGAAGATGTTTTATTTAATAGAAGTAGTGATTCTTACCTAATAAAAAAATCTTAATGAAACAGAACTTCAAGAAATGTATTGAAAATTAAATGCTTGAAGGTAAAAAATATATAATTTGCCAATGCCACCCTCAGGATCCAATGGCCACATTTCCTTTCAAGGTGCAGAATTTGGGAAGCATTTTCTGTTGCACTGTGGCAGTGTACATGCTGTGAGTGCTCTGCAGCCAGAGTGAGTGACGAGCAGAGCTTGCAGGATATTGATTTGTACAAGAAATCAGGAAACAATGGCACTCCAGAGAGACTGGGCAAGGCAAAAAGTCAGATGAGCTGAATTTATAAAGAGATTTTCCCCACACACCTCCAGCCTCAATTAGAGCATCATAAATTAAGCTGAAACGCAGGAAAAGGGTGTGCAGAATCAACCACTTCAAGAAAAAGGCGATCCAGAACTTCCTGACTTCCTGAATTGAATAGTGAGGAGAATTTGTGGGAAGATCCTCTGTGAGGAAACAAAGCAGGCTGCCAGGTGTGCCCCAGAACCCTGGAGCAGGAGGGGCTCACAGCATGGACAGACAGGGCTCTGCTCCATGGGGGGAAGGCAGGAGCCCCTTCCTGGTGTTTGGGGGCAGCACACCCAGCTGAAGGAGCCTGAGCTGAGTGCCAGAGCTGGCTCCACGTGTGCCCAGGGCAGAACAGCACACTGTGCCTGGCACTGCCCTGCCAGCACATCCCAGCAGTGACACCCAGGTGCCAGCAGTGCCCCTGAACCCCACGTGTGCCCAGCACAGAACAGCACAGCTGTGCCTGGCACTGCCCTGCCAGTGGGGACATCCCAGCAGTGACACCCAGGTGCCAGCAGTGCCCCTGCACCCCACCCAGCCTGGAGCACCTGGAAGCCTGTGCTGTAGCTGCCCACTCTGTTCCTTGGTGAAGGGTGAGAGAACAGCCACTCACTCACAGGCTGTGTCTGCAGCAGGGCTTGCTGAAGGAAAATAAAGCTTTTTTCTCCATCTCCACCACTATCTACTTCATTTATCTGGCCCCAAATCTGGAAACACAGGGTAAACCAACTATCCCTATCTTGGCAGGTCTGGTGATAAAAAATACCTTTTACTTACATTCCAAAGATAAGAAAATACTAATATCCCTGAAGGCACTTACCTTCAACTTACAGAGATCTCCTGTTCAAACAAGATTAAAAATAGACCCTGATACAATTATTCTTACCAGCATATCAATGCTGAGTATAGGGTAAACTTCTCAGCACTTTATTTCAGCTGCCTGTGTAAAATGTCCTGTTTTGCATTCCTTTAATAAAGGTGGATTAAAGCACGGCTGAAAGCAGGATCATGCTAATCATATTTCAGATAGAGTGCAGATTGATTTTCCAAAGTAGATAAAACCACTCCAGTTCTCAAATGATGCATTTGAACCAGAAAATGAATGTTCTGTGTTCTCTGACTTTCCCTTGTAATAGGCAGGTGCTCAGTTTATATATCCAAGAAAAAGCAATATTGTCCCTCCCTCCATTTGATAGATAATACAAAAAAATGGAAGGATTCACTTTGTTTAATAATGTGCTTTATGAATCTGCAAAGATGAGAGTTTTATACACATTACAGATATTTTGATCCAATTCTCCCTTTCTCTTCCTCAGGGCTTATGTCAAATCAGAGGGATTAAATATATTTTAAAGCTATTTCTTCTAAAAGCAAAAAAAACCTCTATGTAGCAATAAAGTCTGTTGGTATTGCCTCCCCACAGACATTTCTGAGGGTATTACCAGAAAAAATTAAAGTTTCTTTGTGTACAATGAAAGCAAAGCATGAAGTATTCTGGCACTTCTGCATATTTAAAAGAGAATAGCAAATGAAAAGCAACTGGGTCTTACCTCTTCGTATCTATCAAACACAGCTCCATCTTGCAGAAAAGAGGGAACTGGCTTCTGCCAGTTAAATTCATAAGGTTTTGCCATGATTATAGAAGAAAAACCTGAAATGGAATGGAAAAGCACAGTTCAATTACTGTCCTTCAAAAGGAGCATTTCAAAGGCCAAGCAGGAAAAAAAGTGACTTTTAGCTTTTCCTTTCATACAGAAGTACTAAAAAGTCACAGTGCATTTCCAAATTAGGAGCTTTCCTCCTAAGAGTAATTTTGTTTCATATCTTTAAAATGGAAAATACTTGTAAAATGTGTGTATGAACTTAATTATTTGAAAAACACTTTGCACTGTAACTTTTGAGTACAATGAGGCTGGGATTAACCTAGCTCTAGGTGACCAAATACTACAACCTGTAATGCAGACATGTGCTGCTTATTTTTCTGGTCATTGATACAGAAATCAAAAATACAGTTTGAAAGTTATGTACACATGCCACCGTTAAGTGTTCATTTTCATTCAAAACAGGATGATATGAAATAATAGATCTCTATTCCCAAATCTTACAAAAAAGGACTAAATTATACTTAAACTATTAGTCTGTCCCTTTTTTCTCCCAATGAAGAGAAGCTTTGAAGAAAACAGATCATCTATATGCAATATTTTATCAAAAGCCTCCTTTTCTTTTAGCCAGTCCTGTGCAGACACACCTGCAGTGATAACCACTATTTTTATGGCATGGTAGCTGTTTCTCAATCTATTTAAATGTCTTCTATTATCAGAATGGTCTTCAAACACAACAGGTAGCTCCCGCAGCAATAACTGCTCCCATCCTTCTGGGAAAAGCTGACACATTCTGTGCTAAAACACCAGAAATGTAGTGGCACTTTTAAGGCTGTGAACAGTATTCCCGCACAGTCCCAAGCCTGTAAAAATGGCTTTTCCCCCTTTTATAGTGGTGCTGAACCCCACACAAACCCAATTGAGAAGTTCTGCAGGTGCTGTGTAAGGCAGATCCCAGTGCTCCCTCCAGAGTGGCACTCAGAACGCTGGCTGTGGGCAGTGCTTGAGCACACTCTGAGCTCTGAGAAACATTGCCCACCTCAGCAGCACACACAGCACCTGGGCAGCCCTGCATGCAGCCCCAGGGGCACAGCTGCTGCACAGAGTACCCCTCCCTCTGGGTACTCACACATCAGATGAGCCTGTTACTCCATCGCTGACACATTCATCAGGAGCTGCTCAGTTTGGGCTGCACCGTGCATTTCCCAACCCAGAGCTGCTCTCCTCCCTCTGGGCACTCACACATCAGATGAGCCTGTTACTCCATCACTGACACATTCATCAGGAGCCCCCCAGCTGGGGCTGCCCCGTGCATTTCCCAGCCCTGCAGTCAGCCCGAGCCTCTGTGGATGCGGGTCTGGCCCAGGAGCAGTGAGGCAGCACCACCCCCTGTCCCAGAGCCAGAGCACAGCCCTCCGTGCCATTTGCATGGGCCGGGTGCAGGGCACAGAGCAGCTCAGCCACAGTCTGGACGCTCCAGCTCCTCGCTGTTCCCACCTCCCCGCTCCCTTCCCAGCTCTGCTCTCACAGGTCACTGCAGTTTACAGATGCACCGAGACAGATGAAGTGTGAGGGAGAGGCAGCAAGGAGCTGGAGGAACCGTAACAAACAACATTTTTAAGCCTTATGCTTTGCAGCTGTGCAGAAGGTGAAGAAAACTCTCTCTGCCTTTAGAAAAGCTCTTTTCAGCCTCTCACATTTCTTACACTCCTCTCACAAATCCATTTTTTTCTTAACCATGTTAGCTTTTAAAATACAAAATATTCCCTTGTCACTCTCTGGACCTCTGTTCATCTTCATCAATTTTTTAGCAGTTCAAAGAGAGTGAAAAACAACACCAATCCCAACCAGCAAACCCAAACAAACACAACATTGCAGCGTTCATATGGCTGCAAATGCATGCATGCATATATCCTCACTATGGTGAGAATGAAGAATTACCCTCTTTAGAGACATCAAATAACAACAAAATGTGTGAAGATTCAACTGGGAGACACAGAAGGTTAAGGAACTAAATTTAAAGACAGCAAAATTTTAAGTTGAAAACTTTTATACTGGCTTTAAAAACTGAAATCAAATTTTCTTACTGACTTAAGAGTTCTCAAAGTATAATATGAATACATACCATTCACAAAAGCAGAAAGAACACTCATAAAAATCCACCTCAGGACTCAGTTAATGACTACAAGGGAGAGGTGGGTGAAGAGCAGTAGTTAACAGCCTCCTGCAGTATCTCCCTTTCTCCCAGCTCTGGTTTGTGCCTGAAGCATGATTTGGATGACATGAAGCTCACCTGGAGCACCCAAAGAGCGAGGACACAAACTGAACCATATTCAGAAGAGCATTAATTAACACAAAAGTCTCTCTCTTCTGTAAGCTTGGCTGTACTAAGCTAAATCTGGGGCGTGTGGGCTGTAAATCCTGGGTTTGTCATTCCCTGACCAAGAGAAGGACAAGGTGTGGCTGAACAGGAGGAGGAAAGGACTCTGTTAGTACAAAGGAGACAAATGTTTGTGGAAAGAGGTGATATTCTAAACTAACCCACAGGGCTGGCTAGCATGATGGATGGATACTCCTTGGGTCCCATAAACATCCTGTCAATGCTGAGACACTGCTGGCAAGGACAGCAGGGTTCCTCAGAGCTGGCCCCCCAGTTTCAAACACACAAACTCATCGTTTCCGCACTTTGCTCAGCCCCAGGATCCGAACAGGACCTGGAGAGGTTTTTTTTAGTCATTATTATTTTTGTTCTGGAATGAAGCCCTGTTTGCTGAGTGGAGGTGAGGAGGCTCCACACTCTGTGTTTGCCATTTCAGCACTCAGCTCTTGGCATTACAGCCCCTAAACCTGCCCCAGTTACTGTCTGTTGGGTTTCAAGGGCAGCACCCACCCAGAACTGTGCTCAGTTTGGTAATCATGCCCAGGAATAGATGTTTTTCTTACAGATACAAGGAAGCAATTAAAAAACCCCAAAAACTGAATCTATTTCCCATTCCCAGTCACCCCAGGACATTCCCCCACCTCAAAATACATATAACCTTCAGCATCACTCCTCTTTGGTAAACAAGATTCTTTATTGGAAAGACAACCAGATCTAGATCAGCAGACTTCTCTAACTTTTGGGGTTTTTTATGGAGTTCAACCCAGTCCAGCAAGTTTCCCTGCAGAGCTATAGACTACAGTAAACATCCAGCTGTCCATGACCAAACAGGCAGTGAAGCACTGAAATTCTTATAAAAATGCCCCTTTCATTTTTTAATGAGGCTTTGAAGCACTTTCATAGTCAAATAGTGTAAATATTTCTAGAAACTTGAAGACAAGTCAGATCTTCATGTATTTACTCCTCAATGTCAAATTCATTTGGTCATAAAGGTACTGACATTGACATAAGCAAAATGCAGAGACAGGGAAATGAAAAAAAGAACTGTTTCTGACAAGGGAATTCCTAGCACAAAACACAGGGCTCCAACATCGCCCCTCAGCTTCCTCAGTATTTTTCTTCTTATCCTAATGGTTCCTAGTTTGTCCACACCCAGAGCTTTCCCCAGCATTCCTATTCATTTGAAAACTCTCTTTTTTTGACGTAAGTGCTGACTGCCCATCCTTTTTGAGGGGGGTGCCTTCATGAGAAGCGAATGGTGCAGAAAGAGACATTGGTACTCTAAATGAACTTATTCTGGTCTATTTCCAACAGTGTAACAAAAATCTGTTCTGACTATTAGAAATACATTTAAATCAAGCCATTATGGAAAGCTTCTCAGATGATTCACTCAGGTCTAATTCCTCACAAACTTCTAAATTACAGACATTTGTAGGCCCAAGAAGGCAAATTATTTCTCTGCTCAGCAGCAATACAGAGCCACTGGAGCAGTTTCCCTTTTGAATTGATCACCAAAGTCATCAGGACTCATCACAGCCTGGCAGCAGCCCTTGTGAGCCACCATTGTGAACCAGCTTTATTAGCTTCACCTGCTGACCAAAATGAGCCTTCAGATAGATGTCACTTAAAATGCCTGGAAAAACAAAAATAACGCTGCAATTGCAACACCGAAGTGCTCAAAGAAAAGGTAACATGTTACTGATTTTCAAAACAACTCCTAAAGAAACAAGAGAACCTATACATACTCCTAGAAAAAGGTATGACTTCAATAGTGAGCTAAAATGCAGAACTATCAGAATTGGATGTTACTAAAAACTTAAGTGTTAAAAAATAATAAACCAGACATAGAAAACTGCAAACTTCATGGAATAAGTAAAGCTGTATTTAATGTCCTTTCCTTCTGGTGATAGGAAATTTGGTGTTCATATTCTCAGTTTTGTAACAGCAAAGGTGAGAGAAAAAGGGAAAGGCACAGATCTCCCCAAGGGATTATTTCAGGAGGGAAATGCTCATAATGCTGTGAATTGTACAGAGGATTTAGCAATCTGACTCATCAAAAGACAGTAAATGACAATTGATGTTCATTTACACATCTTATTCAGTATGCATCTAACAGCAACATTTTGCTTTAGATCTGTCAAGTGAACTTCCTTTCATGTAAGCATGTGATGAGGAACCACTCCCCAGAACCCTCTCTGCTTTGTCCTACTCCAATAACACCAACCATGCAAAATATTAGGCTGTCTAAAAATGTGAAGATGCTACATTTTTACCTTGAGTCATGCAGAAGCCTTAGAGGTGCTCAAGATTTATTTAGCATGATGTCAAGTGTCCCATTTCCTGGAAGCCATCTCATCCCCAGGTAGTAGTAGAGAGCAAATTGGGCTTTGATGGAAACAACGGTTTGTGTAATTGCTGCCAAGATCCTTTCTGAACTGCTATAGCATGTGATGGATGTATGCAGTGCGGCTGGATTTAACCAGCAGGCACTTCTATTAAGTTTAATTACTTCACTCTGTGGCTTTCAGTGGAAGGCAGTGTTAAAACAAAGGCTACCTCATGGAATAATAAAACAAACAAACAAACATGCAGCAATCGCAAAACACCACAAGTATTTCCGGATTTACTGAGGCCCAGAGTCTCTCTTCACGGTTTTGTAAACTCTGACACCTTGTATCACTACAGCAGAAAATTACAGCCTAAAGGAATGGGATTTGGCAGATTGGCCAAAAATTTTGGCAAATTTATTAAAAAACCAAGTTTTCAGCATGGTGATTGGGCAATGAATACCATACTTAATTTCTACTGTTGTTTAATCTGCTGCTGACAGGTGACACATTTTAAGTCCGTGAAGAGTGTTTCTCACTTTTAGGTACACCTGTGCAAAGTGTTTGTGCAAATTATTTGAATTCAAATCATGGGCAATTTTAACATTTAGAACTTCAATTTCTTTTTTTTAGCTTCATTCTTTGTGCTCTACAAGATCTCAAGCAGAAGTGGTTCCTGTACTTTAATGTGACAGGAAGACAAGAGTAAATGTTTGAAATTAAAATTCTAGAGAGAGTTCAGGTGGGAGTACAGATAAACACCAAACAACTGTAAGGGAGCATCACTCCAATTACAAATGCAGGAGTTCAGGAAGGGATCCAAGGACATAAAACAACTGCAAGATCCTAAGAGTGAATTATTAACCACAAATACCATGAAAACAAACTTCCAAACTGCATTAATATCAGCAGTCTTTCCTTTCTAAGTGCAAGGAAAGGTTTTGGAAAGAACACAATGTAGTACCTCAAACAAAACCAAAACAACTACAACTATCAGCTGCTCTGTGACCACATCCTGAGGACACAGTTGTCTGTTTCCAAACTCTGACACATGCTCGGACTTTGGATTAATAAAATGAAATTAAAGGTCAGGATCATATTTTTGTAATAACTTCTAAATCCCTGTGGGTTTGAAATAATCCCTGCTATGGTCAGGTACTTTAGTTCAAACCAAACTTTATTAAAGTCTGGACATGATTTATTAGGATCTTTTTCAAAATACACAGATATATTAAAAACTAATAAGCTGTGAGGAACATAGATGTTACTTTAAAATCTAAAATTAGGAAAGTGACATTATAATTTGCTGGTTTTCTGGATGATTTCTGAGAAAACAAGAGTGACCCACATTGCTGGCTTAAAATTTCAGACAAAGCTAAGGTGATCTCTGGCAATTGTTCCAGCAGTCTAGAGTGCATTAACATCAAAAAGCTGGATGCACTGTTTGACAGTTGGCAGTGTGTTAGACGTAAGTATTTGCTGGAAGTTTAAACTAATTACAAATTTCTTGGTACCCTGCATAGAGCTGAGGAGCTACAGTCACCATGGAAATGCACAGGGCATTTACACTTCTTAGATTGTCATTGTGCAGTTTAACCCATGGCATCAGTAAGATGTTGGTATCTATCTCAGAAGATGCAATGCTGCTCAGATTCCATCCCAACACCCTTCCCTTCCCTTATCTCAAAGGCAGGGGAATGCAGGCAGGGCATTATCAGCTGGCTGGAATGGAAATTACCCTTTCTGCATTGCTATAGCATGTGATGATGTTTTCTGCCAAGATTTCAAGTTCACATCACAGAAAATCTCCCAGTCTGTATGAGGAAAAGAAACTTCATGGGGCTCACAGCATGTGCTTCAACACTCAACTGCAAAGAGCAGCTCTGGGAATCACAATGACATCTAATGGATGGGGAAAAATAATAATAACTGCCTGGCCTAAACCCTGTTTAGAGGTTCACCTTTGTTTTTCTCACCCCTCAGCAGCCACTCTGGCTGTTGTATGCAAAGCCAGCACTCATCATCGATTGCTCAGGAAAAACAGAGCCCCTTTGGGGCAGGAGGAGTCAAAGGATCCCGGCTGAGCTGGGGGTGAGCCACACGGCTCTGGATTCTGCATGGACACTTTGCCATTTCCCGTGTTCCTCTGCTTCCCTCTAAAGAATGAGGCTAGCAAGGCTTGTCTGAATTACAGCATTGGGGATGCTAAGTACTCCTTTCATCACCAGTAACACCCAGTGCTAACTCATTAACAAAGTGGGCATTTTGCTGAAGATGAGATTGCCCTGGTTCTAAACACAGGGTATCACAACTAGGCAGGGCTGGAAATAAACTGCTGCCCAACATTTGGAAATCCAGAAGCCCACTTTCCAGCAGGATAAATGCAGACAGCCATGTTGGAGATACACCAGGTTATCATTTATTTATGTCTTTAATTTTGTAGGGAAGCAAGAGCAAAACCAAGTGGTTGAGAACCTTCAGTTATTATTCCTTCATTATGGTAGGTAGGTGGCAGAGTAAGCATTTCTTGTCAATTTGTTTCAACCACATTTCTTTTTAAATGGTCGTTGTACCACTGCCCAGAAGCTCTGAAAACAATAGGAAAGATTGTGCAGCAAATGCGGCCAAGGATAAATGAAAAATATCCCCAATCCTTTAGCTGGCAAGCTGATGGTTAACCAGAAGCAGAAAATGGGAATGCATAAAACATGGCATCACAGTCTGTTCAGTAATCCCTGCCTCAGAGCCCCTGCAATCTGCATATTCATTTCTGCTAATCAAATATTAAAGCAGCTCTCTTGACACGGTGCCCTGCTCCCGGTCACTGCCAGGCCAGGAGGTGACAGCTGCTCTCTGAACTGCAGGGAGCTCCCTGAGGCTGCTCAGGGCTTCATCTGATCAGCAGCCCACAGCGCCAGGCAGTCACTGCTGAGGCATTCAGCTGTTTATATGCCTCAGAATGCACCCAAACGTCACCCTGGACATGAATGTATGGCTTGTGCAGAAATGGGTAAAACCAGGCCTGTCAGGTGGTGAAGAGCGGGGTGGGGGGTGCTCCAAGGCAGAACCTCTCCCAGTTTCTGCTGGATGCACTGGGCTCCGTCAGCTATTCATAACAGAGACATGAAATTTCTGAAGGAAAGCATCTCTGGTTTTGATTGCTCCAAGTGGATGATTTGACAGAGTATTCCTAAAGGGATAAAAATAAAAGTGTTGGTATGTAACCCATTAGTCCTGTACAGAGACAGAAAGGAGTGCTGGTTTGGCCTACTGGCACCCACAGCCCTTGGAGCCTGCTCTGACAGCTCCTGAGAAACAGCAACATCCACAGCATACTGAGGAACCCCATTTATCCAGACTTTTCTGGAGCAGCTGGTGACACCAGAGTCAGGGGACTCCATTTCTCTGAAATCCCTAACTTCAGGATGTCATTTCAGTGTCAAGCAGCAGGAAAATGGGAGCTGATCCCTCTCCGAGCTCCTCCTCATCATCATCCTCATCCCTGTTCTTTCTTGCCAGCTGCTGCTGTGACCCCGCTTGTGCTGAGGAGGAAGGGGACACACACAGCACAAGCAGAGGATAAAGCTCTGCCCCCACAGGTCCGTGGGGAACACTCCCACACGGGCAGGGAGAGGAGCAGCCCCTTCCCCTCCTCCCTGCAAAGGTGAGAGCACACGCTCCATGAGCACATTGCTGACCCCACACAACCACCAGCACACAGAGAAGTGAAATGGGTGGGGAAGAGCACCACAATTGGAAAGAGGAGGAAGGAACTAACACAGGAAAAGCCACAGGAAGCAGGGATGGGGTGTCTGGCACTGATGTGGGCTGGGGCAGCACGACAAAGTGCCTGAGACAGCCATGCTTTCACCGTGCTAGAACAGAACCGTAGATGATTTCCACTTCAGCTTTCCCAAACTATTTGGGATAGTGCAGGCAAGGCTATTTTTAGAGATTATTCCAAGTATGAAGCTGGGTTTCTGCAACATGGCTGGAAAGGAAGGAACTGGGTGGAATATACACTAAGAAAGACCAAAAGAAAAACAAGGCTGGTGCCTGTGTGTGGGGTGGAAAAGAGAGAAGTGGTGGCAGGAACGCTGCCAGCATTCCAGGCAAGGGCAGGGGGGTCACTCACTGACCGGGCAGCTCAGGAGGGAGTTGGCAGGGATCCTGCAGGGCAGGAGAGCAGTATTGCCCCATGCTGCACACAGACTGACACAGCAATGGGGAACAGGCCTGGAAAGGTGAAAGAACTGATTCTAGATGTGAGGGTAGAGGCCAGAGAAGGAGCAGTCTGTTTTAGCCATCAAATGCAGTGAGAATCAACAGATATAACCAGTTACATCATAAACATTGATAAAGGGACCCTCGCAGAGACAGAGAGAAAATGTTTTGCCATTTGCACAGGCTGGATGGACTGAAGTGCTCTCAAGGGGTGCTCAGCCACTCTGGCCTCCCACAGCTCAGTGACAAGTGGCACACAGGCTCAGCAAAGGCACAGCCCATCACAACACAGAGCAGCACCTCACCCAAAGCACAGAGATCCCGCAGAAACTGAAGGCAACATTTTTATGTGTCTAAAACCAGCTTTGTCTGCATCACCATTAAGCATTTCCAGCATAATAATTACCATTGCAAAGAATAAAAACTTGAGCCCAGCAGGCTTTTCCCATAAGAAAACTGGTCAGCTAGTTCAGACTGCTTTTTTTTTCCTGTCACATAGCTATTAAATGCCTCAGACTGTTTAATGTGATAAAAATGTCTAGACTGGTTTTTGACTGAAAGCTGAAGGAAGAGTGTTCTTTGCCCTTGGCTAGCAAACCCCTTGTAAGCACAATAATGTGAACGCTGTCCTTCTGCAGCCCACACCTTCTGCATACATCCATAAATCCATTGCAGCAATCTTCAGAAATCTTGAGACGTGATAGACCAGCCCAGGGAAATGTCAAGCATATAGGTGCAATATAGTATATATGTAAATGCAGTGTTACTTTGCAAGGAAAAATCTGCAGTTTATAATCAGAGTACAGGCATTGCTGAGGAGAAGATGACAGCACCTGTCACAAGCCAGTTAACAAAATCTTCCCAAAAAACCCAAAAATACTCTGGTGAAACCGATGAAGAGCAAACCAGTTGCTGAAGCAGGCAGCAGAGTTAAAGCAAGGAATCCCAATGGGCACATTAGGAAAAGCATTGCCACATGTGAGTCAGTGCATTCAGAGCTTTGTGGTCCCGAGCTGCCCTCAGCCTCCAGCAGCTGTTTATTTTTGTGTAACTAAACTTCTAACATAATTACAATCACTCTAAACTTAGATGCAAGCACAGAGTTTATACTAAAAATACCTCTGGCAGTGAAATTACCCAGCTCGAGTGGTGCTCACCCCCAGCCCTATCTGTGTAGGGGCTCTGAGTGTGCACTGTGCAGTGGGTGTGCTCGAGGGACAGGTGCATCTGATTCCTGTCAGCAGGAGCATTCATGCTGGAACATCAGCTGCACACCATGGAAAAGCCTGAGGGGAAACTCTATCCCTGCACACCACTCCTCATGGCCAACTCCTGCAGGAAACAAAAGTTGCCAAAGGAATTCATGGATGTGACAGGAACATCACTCTGGCCTGGTCACAACTGAACTGTCAAACCACATATCAGAGCCTATTTCCACCTTCCTGTACCCAAAGCAGTCCTAGCATCCTGAGGCCCCTCCAAGGCCCCAATTAACTCTTGATCTTTGAGATCGGACCATAAAGCGCACTGCCAGTCACAGGAGCTGAAAAAGAAACAACAGAACACACCCTACAGGAAAACAACTCGAGGCTTGGGAATATCTATGGGAAGGTTGTTTCAAGGGAGGAAAATAGTTTTTCCACATCAAAAGACCAAGGGCAAAAGGATTTGTACAGTAGAGGTATGGACCCACCACTGAGCCAGAAACTGGTTCCCATTCTCCTTAAGATACCATTTCCCCTGAGCAAGTCAGAATATTCCCCTCTGTAAAAAGCAAGAATGTGTTTTTTTCAGCATTATCAGGGAAGGTGATTTTATTGATTGTGGAGCACTTGGATACAACTCCACTATACAGTGGAGAACAGACCAAGCAACATCACTGGTCACTGTCTAAAATTAATCTTTTGTGAAATAACTAGGTGTGCAAATTGAAAGCTTGCACCAGGGAGGTTGCACATTGTGGGTTTGCTGTTTGCTTAAATATTAATATAGAGTTAAGATCATCAGTCTCTCCTTTTGTCAGCACATCCCCTGCAGGGTTGGTGCCTGTACAGTCCATGTCCATGTCAGAGGGTGCTTTGCACAGTCATGGCACGGCTGAATTGAATCCCTCCTTTGCTCCATTTGTTGTTGTCTCTGGCCATCTGAGTGAAATGGCACATGGAGGGAAAAGGGACCAGCCCAGGTGGTGTTTCTCTTGCCCTCCCCAGGAACACAGAGTGGTCTGCAGGTGCTTTGAGCAGAGCAGCTGGCAGCAGCCTCCTGAAGGCAGGCAACCAGGCTGTGCTTACTAACATACCAGCTTGTTGGCAAGGCTTCTTTGGATGGCAGATAAAGCGGCACAGGGAAGGGAGAGGCTGCTGCTTCTCCTGAAACAGAAGTGGCTGGCACAACACCAGAAATAACAGATTTCATAAATAAACTAACCAAGCTTTCCCTTCCTGAGAAACAGTATTTCTGCTCTCATGGGCTCGTTAAGGGTTAATGAATAATGCTGCTCACTGCTGTATGCAAACCAAGATCTGTGTGTGAGCAAGGGCTGGGCTGTAAGCTCACACTGAGTGCTCTTGGTGAACCAGGCGAAGGGCACGGCTCAGCTCAGGCAGCAGGCAGGCAGGGGACACCCGTGTCACAGTGCTGTGTCCCCAGGCTGGTGGCACAGTGTGCTGGAGCCCACCCCGATATTGCAGCCAGAGGCTCCTGCCTGCAGGGACCCCACACAAACGCCCACAGCTCTGAGTCTGCCCGCTCGCAGTGCCAGCAGGGCTGAGCCCCTCGGAGCCCCCAGGGCCAGGAAGGGATAATGCAGCTCCAGTGACGGAGGAGAGCAGTGCTAACCCTGCTGCCAGCCCGAGTGCCCCATCCCAGCCAGGGCACAGCCCGACACCGGTGCAAAGCTCTTGTGCTTTTGTTCTTTCCTGCTGCTTTTGTGCAGTGACCAGGTGACACAGCAGCCACAGCACCAAGGACATACGGGAGCACTCACAGGGCCAAGAGCAGTGAATTCCAAATTGCATCACACACACACTGATGGGAAAGACCACCGGCATTTTGAAAACTGGCTGACTTTGAGAATCATTTCTCTCACCTTTGATACTCTGCAGCCCATTTTGCCAGGACTCTTGGTCTGATCTCCCAATCCTAAAGCAAGTTTACCACCTCTTAAATTTTACAACGTACTGAAAACTTGGCTTTAAGACCTGATTACAAAGCCATCCAGGAACTTGCTTAATATAACTTTAAAAAGCAAAGCCACAGCCAACAGGTACCCTAGCTGGTAAGCTGAAGCATTTTCAAGAGTCTATTTATTAATAAATCCCATGATTTATTAGGAAATTGAACACAAAGAAACAGCAGAACTTGTTTTTGAAGCTGTGGTTATACAACCACCTGATCTTGAAGTTCAGGATGGCAATACTTGAAAATCAGGTGGAACACAAAATCCTGCAGGTGCTGGATGTGATAAGAAGGGAAACCCTGCTTTTCCTTGGAAATCCAAATTCACACACAAGATAAGGAGGAATAAGTTACTCAGGCAAACCTCTCACTGCGGCAGAACTATCAGATCTAGGAAACAAAGGCTGCTCTTTTCAAGCTGTGTGAGGGACAGTACTCCATTACAATTAAAGAAATCAAACTTCCTTTTGCTTTCACACCCGGTCCTGACAGGCACAAGATAACATTATCTCTACCCAAACCTGCCTTTCTCAGCTGTGGCTGTGTTTTGGAGTAGAAGTACAAAACCAGGAAAGAAACCAGGTTGATACACTGAGATAAAAACCCCAAAGCTAACAGAAAGGCACAGAGTAGGTATGAACTCCAGCCACGCTCCCTGAACCCCTGTGACTGCCTGTGCCACAAACTGAACTTGAGCTCCCTCAGCAATCCCACCAGCAATAATACTCTGCAGAGTGGGTGGCTTTGCTCAGCAATCAAACCTGCAGCTGCACTCAAGGCATGCCCACACAGACCAGCCTTACCAGTGTACTCAATGTTTACAAAAATATTCTTTAAAAAACCCATGTGCTACATCTTTAAAGTTTCACTTAATGTTTTAAACAAGCAAAACCAAAATAAATGTATAAAAATTCAGCGCTCTCTGAGGTCCAGCTCCTCAGCCCCACACAGCTCCCTGTGCCACAGCCGGGGCTGCAGGGATCCTGGGAATGATGCTGTGCCGGGCAGCCACAGCTTCTGCTGCACCTGGGAGTGCTGCTCTGCAGTGCATCCACAGCCATCCAAACCAGGCTGGCTGAAAGCCCTCTGGTATCACAAAACAACCAGAGATGATCCTAGACTGCAGTGATACTCTCCAAAACTCTGCAGTAACATTGGTATTTCTTCAGAACAGCCTGCAGATACTGAAACCTTCATAAATCACTCTGTACAAGCAGTGTTGCTCTAATGCTGATTTTGTGTTGTGAAAATGAGTACCTGCTCCTCTGTAACATGGCAAGACACTGAAAACACAGCTCTCTAATAGATTTCTGTCTTCCAACTATGAGCCCCTCCAGGCAGGTGCACTGCAAGCTAAAATTACTACAGCCAAAGCATGGGTGAAATCCAAACCCTGGGTTTGTACTCCAGCCTTTAAAATTGGAAGTTTTCTTCAACAAATCCACTGTTTAAGGATTAAGTTGTGATTGAAACTCAGGAAACTGAAGCAAATTGAACCAGGAAAAATAGGCATTTTTCCCCACTGACTCCAACCTGTGCTCAGCTTACATACCCCTGCTCAGGAAGGGCCCAAGAGAACTCCACAAGCATTTGAAGAATTTGCAAACAGTGCTTCAAAGTAAACCCTCCCCTGGCCAGAGTCAAATGACCATGTCAAGAACACCTTGAATGGCACGTCAAACCTATTTTGTTCTCATTCTGCAAAAGACATAGGCAAACAATGATAAATGGTGGCAGTGAACACACAGATGACACAGAAGTGCTCTGCTGCCTTCAGGCAGGAGCCCAGGGCCTCTGCTGAGGGTTCTGGGAGAGGGAACTGGGCTGGTGGCACACCCGGGAGATGCAGAGGATGCAATGCCGGCGTTCTGCTGGCAGAGAATCAGCCAGTGTGACACACATGCTCATCACAATTTTCACAACTTGTTCTGCTGCTCCCAAAGCCCTTGGCAGCCCCTGGGTAAACAGCAATCTTTGCATCCATCTTCCACACAGAATCACAGAACCAACTGCATTGGAAAAGATCTCAGGGATTGCTGAGCCCAGTGTTTGACTGAACACCAGTGTGTCAACCAGAGCAGGGCACTGAGTGCCACATCCAGCCCTAATGGAACACCTCCAGGCACCTCAATTCAAAAAGATGACAGAAACTACAAACCCAGAGGACATACACCAAAACTAAATTGAAGGGAAAATATTAGACAGCATTAATGACTTTAAAGACATTTTGTCCACTGAAATCTTACAATAAATGGTACAGGTTTACCTTTCCACAGAATGCTAATGCTATTGTTCATTAATATATGCTGACATGTAGTAATCAGCTTCTTGAAGTTAAAATTTTTGTAGACATCTGGAGGGACCAATGGTCTTGAATTAAAAGAGGACTATTTGATATTTTCACCCTAATTTCCAGCACATGGTATATATTCAACTGCTCTTAAAAAAAAAAAAAGGTACAAGGGGAAAATTCCTCTTTACATCTCTTTGGGATTAGAAAATCAAATTCTAGTACAGTCATGCACTTGGCTGTGCACAGCACTGTCCATCAGATGGTTGGAAAGCTCTCCAGAAAAACAGACCCCTCTCACAGACAAGGAAAAAGCTATGAATGACAGAAAACAGAGATGACCTAAGAGAATAATTGCATTCTCACTCTGCAGATGAGCAGCGGCACTCATTTTATATATCAAAGGGCAGTTTTCACCAGAACTTCTAATCTGACATGGCACAACGAGTCCCCTTGTGCTTTAACATCCTCACTGGGTGGGATGGCAGAGTTTGCTCAGCTGGATGGACACAACTCCTCCAAATCCAGGCCTGAGAGCCAGGGACATGCCACAGGAGCAGGGGGATATAATGATAATTATAATGCTAATATATATGCTCAGTGATGTGGCCAGAAACACCTGTGGGATTCAGCTAACACACACACTTCTGTGAACTCCAGAGAATCATTTATATGTTTTAATCTTCAAATCCGCTTGCAAAACCAGTCCAAATACGGTGTGAAGTCAAAGCACAGTTTGGTCCCTCCAAGTCTGGGGTCACAACTCCACCTGCACCACCCAGCCCACTCCTCCGAACATCTCAAATGCTCACTAATCCTTTCCCTATGGATTTTCACTTGTTTGTAAGGGCAGCTTTCTGACAGTCACGGAGTCACAGCTGCCACAGTCCCTATCCAATGATTCCAGGGCAGCCTGGAAGCTCATTCCAAGTACAGCACGTGCATTCTTGCTTCTTGTCATCACAGGATTTATCCCAACCCACTGTGAGAATTACCCCCACAGAAGCCTCTAACAGATTTCCATTACCACACAAGCTAATGATGAAATAAGCACCCTGCTTCTACTTCATTTTGGTGCTCCTCAATCAGAGCTGGCAACATTTCTAATAGTCATTGCTAACAGTAGAGCCAAAGTAAAATTCAGCACCTCATCGTATAGGATCTGCCAGATTTTCAGCTCATTTTCAGGTTTTTTTGTTCTTATTCCATGCTTTAAATATGCTTGGATCCAAAGCCATTTTCCCTGAGGTACATTCCAAAATTCACAAACTAAATGCTGCAGAGGAATCTGCAATTTATAATAAGATTTAAACTTTGCTTAGTTTCGTAATTCCCTCTATTAAATCACTTTTATTAGATGCTCTTAATGTAAGTGCTTTACCAGAATGGTCATTTCTTGGAAAATATGACTTCAGCCACATTAAAGCCACCAAGACTCCTATTTGCAGTGATCTCTCAAGAGAAGGGAAACAATACAAATAGACTGGGCAGACTGAAAAGGACAGACTAAAATCAATGAGAAGATGCCATCAGGTCTAGTGGCACACCCAAGTGCTGTCAGCTGCACAAGATGTGACTGGTGCTGTGATGCCTGAGAGGCTGGCCTAGAACAAAACTGGGATTCATTTAAAGGCCTCAAGGGATACACCTTGGGCTGTCACACATTTCCACACTTCTCTAAGTTTTTTAAACCCATTTCCACATGGTGTTCAGTTGTCCAATTCCAGCTCCAGGTTATGCAGTCCCATCCTCCTCAATTCCTTGCTGTTCACACTTTTTGGGCCTGAAGCTGCAAGTTCTTGGGCTGGAAAAGGATTGTGAAGAGAGCTTGCTAACGCTTTACATGAAAGTTCAGAGTTAGACATTAATGCAGTACAAAATCTGGAAAATATGAAAGCTAAAACGTAGGGCATCAGGTGAACTCCACTTAAGAATAAATACTGGCTTCACTTTAATCTGATTTTTTTCAGCTGTGCTCTATGTGCTTGGAAATACTAACAAGCACAGCTTTTGCTACTAGATAAGATCTTGCCTTTTGGGTAGCTCTACCTCAAATTATTACTCTCCATAAAATGAGCAGGCTGTTCTAAACTCAATATTTAGTGACTAAAAGATCCAGAAGATTTAATCTTCCTATGTGCTGCCAATCTCATTCAAAATAACCTGTGCCTTAACAGCAGGTTTGAGATTTTGAATGTATGTGCACACACACATACAAACAGTTTATATATAGATATATATATATGTAACAGATTTTTCAGTGCACAGAGACTGCTTTGAGATATCTCATTGTTAGCTAAACATATTTAAATTTTTTGCATGTTTATGCAAAGTTTAATTGCTTCTAAAGGATTCAAGGTTACAAGTCTTGTGCAGAGGGACACGGATGTTAGATTTAATAAATGATTGAAAGACTAAATCCCAATAAATCAGTAAGTGTTTGACTTCAGGCAGTTTTGATTTTTAATGTACAATAACTTCAACACTTTTTAGTAACTTAAATAGTGACAGTAGCTTCATGAAAGATGTTTATAAAAGGTCTGTGCATCTTTACAGATAAAAACCCCAAACAAACCAAAATCAACCCCAAAACACACAAACAAATCCTAAATACAAGACAACCACCAAAAAAACCAAAGCAAACATTAGGTCCTTGAACTGGAGGAGTCTTATAAAATAATGTACTCATAAAGTAATGTAATTATTCAGGCCCAGGAAGGGCCAAATCCATTCCACTCTGCGAGATGTGACAAATTTTCACCTTTATTGCTCCAGAGGAAACCAGCTCTGCAGGCAACCTATTCAAAGGCTTCACTGTTCTTTGCCCTGGAGAAGATTTTCCAACTCTCAAAGGTTTCCAAATTTCAAATTTCTCACCCCAAACAGCACAGCACATAGATTTTCCCTTTTCTCTTTGCAGAAACCTATTGAATATTTCAAAGCCATGATCAGTTTTC